TTTGTATCCTGAACAAAGAGTAATGTGTTTATCAGCGAGACTCCTAAAAACAAGCAGCTTTTTCTCCCGGTCTCTGAGACGTATGAATCTTGTCATGTCATCTAACTCTCTGCAAGAAAAGCACATTAATTTTATAAACGTCTAACTAATCGTTTAAAGTGAAACAAGTGGCCACAGGGCAATGAAGTCATCCCAGTCATGTAAAAGGCAGAAGCATCCATTATAAGGCAAACATTCCCTGTTAAAAATAAGTCGGTCTGTTTTTTTTTGTTTTTTTTGTCATCCTCCTTGATGTCGGAGCTTTAAAGAGACGTTTTGCTGTTTAGTTCAGAGCCAGTCTAGGTTTGTTTGACAGCTCATACCGATGAGTGACAAGCCTGAGTGTCAGAAGGACGACTTTACCAGCAGAACTTGCTCTTTTTAGGCAAGCCGTGTGATTTATTTGGGTCTTTAGTTAAGTTATACATCACAGCAACGTCTAACTATTTCATGAACTCGTTTAAAATTCTGATTTGAAGCTGAGGCTTGGAAGAATTTGTCGAAAAGTGTGCAAACTAAAACAGGCGTGGTTGAAAACAAGCAGTTTCTAAAACCCGTCAGCTCAGCCTGACCACATTTAAGTGAGCAAACCCTCAGGGTCCCTGTTGTTACTCTGCCCTAACGTGGACAATGGTAACCATAGTAAAAGTATTTACTTTCATTCAAACAGGATTCAAATGAGGATCACGCACACAGCAAATTCACTCCCAACTATGCCACCTATCCTCGTGCACATGGACAACTAGCGCCAAATATCCAAGCGTCTTCGTTCGGGTCTTGTAAAATACACGAACATGACTTGTCAGAGTTTCAGCGGACAAAGAACGGCCGGCCACTGCTTTGTTCTCGGGTGCCGAACTGTTTTGGACTTGATCTGTCAGATTTATTCTCCCACACGCCCACTCTCACATTTACGTAAGGCTGAACTCCGAGAGGTCTGAAAATGTACATTTGAATGCCAGAAAAGTGAGCAACAGCTCATTTTCAGTCGGGACGTGGCAGCCTCCTCTCCCCTGCAGCCCTCCGGCTCTAACTCCTCATCGCAGCCTGTTGAGACGGTTCTGCTGGCACCGTCCTCCCATCCCCCACGACAATTTGTGTCCATGACCATTTAAAAAATGGGCTGAAAGAGGAACTTATTTTAGAGCTCTGTGGGTTCTGCTATGTCCAGTATACATATAAAGGGTTTTGTCAACTGGGATGGCTATTTGTGGGTGATATTCTTATATACACTGATACTAAATTTTTATATATGTAATTTTTTAAAGTTCTGATTGACTAATTCTAGTTTTTGCCTGTTTGTGAGTTCTCCGTACAAATTAAAATGGACTGCATATTCTGGTGGAATAAAACAACTGGATTTCTATTAATAATAAATGTTGATCTAATAAATATTATAATATAAAATTGTCTTCTTTTTTGTACCAAAAATAACAGTGTTTCTGTGAAGTCTTGAAAAGTATCCGATTTAGTTTGAATATTTTCCAGGTTGGGATGAATAAGGAAAAAGGCAAACACGTAGAAGCATCCATATATTTTACATACTATTTCCTCCACTGCCTTTTCTAAAATATGAAGTCCAAAGTTTTGAAACTTGCTCAGACAAGCAGAGCATTTTAAACTTTTTTTTTTTATAAATAGAACATACATGTATAATGACGTCGGTTCATTTACCATACCTTCAGGATGTGATTTTGACTTTCACTATCTTGACTTTTGACATTTTAATTCAGACGAGCAACATCCAAGAAAAACATTTACCATTGCTGCCCTCGGGCTGTACACAAAAGTAGATTATTTTTGCCATGTACAGTGGTGCTTGAAAGTTTGTGAAGTCTTTATAATTTTCTATATTTCTTCATAAATATGACCTAAACATCATCAGATTTTCCTAGTCCTAAAAGTAGATAAAGAGAACCCAGTTAAATAAATGAGACTAAAATATTAAACTTGGTCATTTATTTATTGAGGAAAATGATCCATTATTACAATTTGTGAGTGGTAAAAGTATGCCTTTGCTTTCAGTATCTGGTATGACATCACCCCTCTAACCACCCATAACTAAACATTTCCGGTAACTGTTGATCATTCCTGCACACCGGCTTGGAGGAATTTTAGCTCGTTCCTCTGTACAGAACAGCTTCAACTCTGGGATGTGACAGAAAAAAACCCAAAGACTGATAAAGAAAAAAAAACACCAAAAACGGTTAAAACGACTACATAACCGTTACTGAAAAGCTTCGTATCTGGAGCCTGCAGATCCACTTCTTCTTCTTTTGGCCGCTCCTTTCTTCAGGGTCGCCGCAGCAAACTAACTTGCACGAAGTCTTGACAGTTCGCCTGCAGATCCACTAAAAACTGTAAATATCACGTTTTTGTCTATCCAAACCTTGATTCTGTGGATGGGACCTTGGACTGTTGTTGGACAACAAAGTTCATGCTCATTAACATTGTTTCCTCAAAAGAACCACAACTCACGGCAGGTGAAGATTTTTTTTAACTTTCTTTTTTAATTGCAAGCATTCAGGACAAGTTATATAAATAATACATATGCATGGAGACAGTGTCAGCGAATGAACCCGAGCAGAGTCTACTGCTGACTTTTATAACATTACCAGTTTGATGGAGTTCAGTGGGCGTTCCTTCGTCCTGAAGCCTCCTGTGATCCCAGCTCACAACAACACAGAAAGAAATCGTCCAGAGGAGCTGACGTATCTTTGTTGGATTTTTTTTACCTGGATTATTGAGCATGCACTTTGATGTCACAACACACTTTGTCAGCACAGAAATGGTTTATGGGCGTCGAGGAGGCACCACGAGTCAGCCTCCAGGTCAAGATAAGAGAATGTTTGGGGAGACAGCAGAGCAGCAAGATCTCCTGACAGGAGGGAAAGATGCTCTCAGTCACAATATAAAAACATTCATAACCTATCCTTCTATCATCTTTTACCCACTTCTTCCTTTTTGGGTCACAGGGGTCACTGGTGCCGTGTCCAGCCATCACTTTGTGAGAGGCAGGGGACACCCTGGACAGGTCTCCAGTCCATCACAGGGACACATAGAGACAAACGAGACAAACAACCGTTCACTCTGTCACTCACACCTAGGAACAATTTAGTTACCAATCAGTCTAACATGCATATTTTTGGTCTGTGGGGGGAAACCAGAGTACCCGGAGAAAACCCACACATGCACAGAGAGAACATGCAAACTCCACCCAGAAAGGTCCTGGTAGGAATGTTCGATATAAACGATACACGGTAGAAACGATAGAAATTTAGTCTATGATAGAGATCTGTCTTCTACCGGCTAACCGCAGTAATGCTGTGTCTGATGTAAAATCAGAGTTTTCAGTTTAATCGTTACTTTTTTTTAGTTGAAAACTGTGCGCAAGTGGCGTTAAAGTCTTTTCTTCGAGAGCTAAGTAGCGAAGCTACAAGCTAGCTATGGCTGGCTTGCCGTAGTGTTGCCGTATTCTGACGCATGCGCAACACGCTGAGTTCCGTCGAAAGTTTTTTTTTTCCCATCGAAAGTTAAAGTAAGCGTTGGTCAGCTTTAGAGAAACCTGCTCTCTGATCTGTAAAAGAACGCTGTGTTGTGTGATTTTACTGCGAGACCCTCTGGTCAAAGCCACAGACTCATTTTGTGTCAACTCCATTAAAACGGAAGGAGACGCCCACTAGAGGTTTGGAGGGTGAAGTGTTTCAGTGTAACATGCTGCTCTGTTGATGTTCATTTCTTAAGTGAGAAGACTGGAAACTGTTAAGAGTTAACAACATATTCTTTTGTGTAAAACATATGGCTAAAACTACATTTTTTGCACTGTTTTGCACTATAAGCAAGAAGCCTATTGATTTGTTCATTATTTAAAAACTCTCTGGACCTAGTAGTGGAATTTTTTTAATTCAAAATATATGATGGCAAAAGGACACCCTATGCTTTTTAAAATTCCTATTAAGTTTTATACCAAAAACATATTGCGATATATATCGTTATCGCCACCCTTCACAACACATATCGTGATATGACTTTTATGCCATATCGCACATTCCTAGGTCCTGGGCTGGGATTGAACTGGCAACCTTCTCACTGAGAGGCAACAGCTCTACCTATTGAGCCACCGTTCATAACCCTTGACCAAAAATTCTCGGTAACAACTGTTCAACCATTAATAAACGTTATTGTAAGGGTATGCATGACAAATGATACCGTGTTGATTGTCATAAACTAATTATTGAACCTTTTTTAACACTTTCTTTCTTGCAATTCTCAGATCTAAGATAAATTTCGAATTGTCACCTGTTTATGTGTCACACTGGTCTACAACAATTTACAGATTGTACTGCTAGCTAACTTTCAGTCTTCATTACTACTGCTGGAGTAGCTGTGTATTTATGGTGCGTTCTCAGACCAAGAAAAGGATTGTTGGGCGCCAGGTCTGTTTCGGTCAAGTTCATGAAGCAGAAATGGGGTGGATTCTGGTCACCTGCCAAGCAATCAGTGCATCCTACACAACAAAAGTCAAGGGCTTTATCTTTATTCAGTCACTAAACAAAAGATGAATGTGGAAACGTTGAGTCTTTGCGGTCCTTTTATTTAGCGCTCGCGTTTGTTCTATATGGCTCTATGACCTCTGCTGACGTTTCCTCGTTTTTCTTATTCAGGATTCTGAATTGCTGACCTTAAAACCCCTGTTGCCCTATTTTCCAAATAAGTTTGCCTTCATGTAAAATAGCAGGACCTCTCGGGGCATGTTCTGCATCGGGAGCCTACAGACAAGTCTTTGTCCTAACAAGTGTGGTGGTCGGGGAAATACATGTTCAGCAAGTGTCTGAGCTAGGATGGAAGAAACCTATCTCAAAAAAATTATGCCAAAGATGTTGATTTCATGTTGAAACCGACTTGATCATTTTTTTTTCCTAAAGACATTAAACATCTCTGTGCTTTTTTTGTTTTTACAGTCACGGCTTTGGAGACCGTTACCGGACTGTACGGAAAAACGGTGGCCATCCCTTGCAATTACGGAACGATTAATGCAAAAGACATCGTGATGATTAAATGGAAATATGTAAGTCGCAGTAGAGGTCAATGAATTCAGGAATGTGACATCCGTGTGACAGCCACTCATGTCTGAACCACGCCCAGTCTGACAGCATGTGCATTAGAGCATATATCTGTCCCTTCGTACGACACTTCACATGTTTGCTTTTATTTAAATGAGATCAGAAACAGCTCCTCTCTGCTCCTCTCTCCAGGACAAAGGAGATGCCCAGTCTGGAGACCTGCTGGTCAAGCAGAAAGACCAGAACGTCTCAAACTACGCCACAGATGATTACCTGGGCCGTGTGAGCATGGCCACAAACTTCACCCTGCTGCTTTCTAAAGCCAAACTGGCCGATGCGCGGACTTTCACCTGCATGGTGGTGGCTGCTTCAGACATCCGAGAATTCCCAGTTAACGTGCTGATCAACAGTAAGTTACATGTGTTTTAGTGAAAGAGTCCTGATAGCAAGTACTGAGAGTTCTGCACTCTTATTGGAGTGAATGTACTGGACATCTGGATGTTCTTGATTCACTAGAGAAAAAAATAAGGTTTACTAGAACAGTTTTTTTTTTTTAAGTTTTTTTTTTACAAAAATCCCCTAAAACACACGTTTTTGTGTTAGTTAAGTCACTAGCCAGAAGACAAACACAAAAAAAGACCAAAGGGACAGCCGTTCATATGGTTCCCAATATATTTTTAACTCAAATAGTGTCTTAGTATAGTTTAATAAATGTCAACATAATATATGGATCAAGCCACTCCATTAATTTCCAGTTTTTTTTTAAACTGAAAGCCAAAATCTTTATTTTGGGTGCTGTATTGTTTTGGAGCCAGTCTGTGCATTAGGGATGTGGAACTACACCGTCAATACAAAAGTCTGGTTTACAAACCCTCCGAACTTACTAACAACCTGTCGCACTGTCAGTCACAGCGTAACTGTTTTAAGCCTTAAAGAACTAATAGAACCTGCAATACGTTGAGAACTATGTGAATAAACAAAAATCAGCACCGGGGCTTCTGTGGCTTCAACTTCCTGGTTTTTTCTCCTGTGTTTGGTAGTATTGTTTCGTACACCACACAAAAACGCAAAACTTAAGGCCCCCACATATTCAGGCTTACTTCACTCCGCGGAAGTCTGCACGTTTTCGAGATAGACTCAACGTGGATTCGAAGCGGATGTCTGCCGGACATGTCCGCACAAAGATTTATTTTTTTTGACTACATACGTGTACTCACACAATAAACTGCCCAGTGAGAAACTGTTCACGTCGAACTGTTTTGTATGCGACACCAACCGCTGTCAGATAAAAGTTGAGAATCTGCACCATCTTGTGGACAAAAATGGAGTCACATTTTGAAGAGCAGGAGAAAATAGCTCAGACCCTGGGTAAGGACGAGGCACTTTGTTGAGCTAAATGTAAGTACTTCAGAGACAGATTTGTTAAGGCAAGAAAGAAGAAGAGAGGAAAAAGTGGGGATGGGGCAAAGGGAGGTGTCCCCACCTATTTTTTATGCTGTCTTGGCTGGACACCTTTGTAAAATGCCGGGAGACAGAGACAATCTGTACGCTCGAGTATGAAGTCTCAACCGTCTGCGGACAGACTCGGCTCATGGAGTACACACAGTACGCCCGAGTATGTGGGGGCCTTTAGTTGTTATAATGAGATTATGTACTGTAGAAGGCAGTAATTCATAATGAATGCTAACATTAGCAAGCATTTTATTAGTTTGGAGTATATTATATTTCTTCTTTTTATTTATTGACCATTTTCAAATGATTGGAAATTAACATTTTTGTTGAATAGTCTTTGTACCAAAAGTCCTGCTGCTAAAAGAAAACCGCCCTGTTTAATGAAACAGAAGTTGTTATCGCTAATTCTGCTAGCTGCTATTTCTGCTAGCTGCTAATTCTGCTAGCTGCTAATTCTGCTAGCCAGAGCTACTTTTGCTGGTTAATTTTTAACCTATACATAAAACTGCTACGATGGCAGAAACTGATTCAAAAAGTCACGTTCAGTTTTACAAGCAGGTGTTTTGCTTTGGTGGGAGACAAAACCAACCCTGCAGCGGAAACGCTCGTCACATAATCTAATCAAATTCATATATGTGAATGAGTATTATAATATTTAAAACTCATTATCCAAGCTTAACGCACACTGTCTGATGCGATTTGTCCCATTAGTTGTCATAAAACAAATGAAATGCAAAAAAAGTCTTTAAAAAAAACAACTAACAATCCTGTCCAAAGACTACTCGGGAGCTTTCTGTGGGACAGAATAAATCCATTTTATGTGGATTTAAAGCTTTGTAGACTTTTACCAGCACAAAAGGCTTTTATCACTTTGAAGGAAGGCATAAAAACAAAACTAAATAATCTGTTTTAAAGTTCCACTGTGACTGACAGGAGCGTCAGCCTTGCCTCTACTACCACCTCTCTCATTAACACGTTTTATATTTTGCAGAGTCGCCTGCAGGCGTGGAGATTTCTGACAAAGCAGTGGAGCTGGAGTTTGGCAAACTCACGAAGGTGGACTTTTTGATGATAAATATTGCTTATGCATACATTATTTTAAGCAGCAACACACCGAGGGAAAACCCCAACTTGTGCTAAGGTGTCTTGAGACCTATAACAGAGTCCATGAATGTTACTACAGTAATGAGTTCTTTGAAGTGATTCTCATAAATTAGTAAAGAGCAGAACCCCCCTCCCTACAGCAATTAGAATACTCCGAGGATTGGACGGGATTTAGAAATGCTTCAGGCATTTCATGGTTTGCTGCGTGGAAAAGTCTTTACTCCTCAGATGCTGCGGAGGCACTAAAAAAGCTAATTTGCTCATATGTTGGGTCATTTGGAAAAAATAATAATGTAATGCTAATTCTTCCCTGCAGATTTATGACTATATTTCTCCCCGTTTTTACCATTTGACTTTGTTTCGTTTCACAGCTGGGAAAATGTGTTGCTCGAGATGCTAATCCAGCTGCTAACATCACATGGCTGAGAAACAATAAAACCCTGGTGGCTGATGGGAAAGGTGCGCCTTATTCATCCTACTGCACGTCTTGGAAGGATAACAGACTTTGATGTTTATAAATATTACATACACAGATGCCCATATATATTTGGAGCAACAGGTGTAAAGTATTAAGCGGCAGTGAGTTGGGCTGGTCTGCCGTCAGTGTGTGTGTGTGTGTGTGTGTGTGTTTTGGTCAATGCTGTACCTTGTTAAGTGTTTTCAGGCTGCACTTGTTTGTTTTGTGTCCAGGGATTTCCATCAAAAACTCTGTGGAAGGAGACTCTGTTACCGGCCTGTCCACCACAATGTCCACGCTGGAGTATTCTGCAGAAAAGGCCGACGCAGGCGCCCAGTTCTCCTGCAGAGCCGACCATCCTCTGGGTGACAACCTCGTGTCCTCTCCGATGACTTTCACCATCACCTGTAAGTCACTCATCTCACTTCCTGTTGTTTTCAGATGTAATATTGTGTCGCTGTACAGTAGTCCCTCAATACTTTATGGTTCAACTTTCACAGACTCTCTCTTTTGTAGGTTTTCAACATAACATTGTACATGACACACAATTGGCTAATTGATGGAAGGCGACCAATCAGAGCATTGTGCAGAGGAGTGGACTGGCTATCGGGAGCACCGGGACATTTCCTAGTGGCCTGGCCTGCTCAGTGATCGCCAAGGGGCCCCCTCCTTTCTCTTTCTGAGGCTGTCTGTCACAGCAGAGCAGAGACACAGAACAAGCGGGTGCACCACCTGTTGCATGTCTCTGCTCTGCTGTGACAGACAGCCTTAGAAAGGGAAAGGAGGGGGCAGGGTCTGTCTTTCCCCATCACTACTGCTCAGTAGAGCGGTTGATTCTGGGATTGTTTATTATAAATAATCAAGCGCAACCTGACCCGAGACTGGTCCAGCCCAAAGCGGGCCAGGCCACCGGGAAATGTCTTGTTGCTCCCGATGGCCAGCCCGCCCTGGCGATTGGCTCAGTAACCGTATCATCAGTTTGTCTGCTTTCTTTCGCTGTGCTCTTTTAGAGCGTTTAGAACATTGTCAAGAACATTGCAAGAGTGTAGGAAGGGTTTATAAAGCCTTAATATATATCCATCCATCCATTATCTTTACCCGCTTATTCCATTTTGGGTCACAGGGGTTGCTGGTGCCCACGTCCAGCAATCACTGTGCAAGAAGCGGGGTACACCCTGGATGGGTCGCAAGTCCATCACAGGGCCACATAGAGACAAACGAGACAAACAACCATTCACTCTCTACTCACACCAAGGGACAATTTAGAGTTACCAATCAGCCTAACATGCATGTTTTTGGACTGTGGGAGGAAACCGGAGCACCCGGAGAAAACCCACGCATGCACGGAGAGAACATGCAAACTCCACCCAGAATGGCCCCTGGACAGGGCCTTAATATATATATATAAATACCTAAATAAATATAAAGTCCCTACTTTGCAGATTTTCACCTATTGTGGGGGTGTTTGTAACGTAACCCTGCGACAAGTGAGGGACTACCGTACCTCAAAATCATAAATTATCTACACCAAAACACCACTTAGTCTCCTGCCTGATCGCAATAAGACTATAAAAACTTGTTCAGGGGCTACAGTTATATTTATTGGCTAGTTTGTCAAAGAGGAAGTTGTTGGCTGTCTACCACATTCTCACTCTGTTCACTCTTTGCACGGCCATGTCCTGAACCTACACCAACAAACCCATGCTGTCTTAATGGATCCAATTTAGTTTTAAATACAATACAATTAAAACATGCATCAACAGAATACAAGTCTTGGTAATTAGGTAATGGTAATGAGGCACGATGGACTTCCCCAAGAGATACTTACCCTCAAGGGTAGTCTGGCTCACCAGATGTCGGTTTTTGGTAAAAAGCATCTGTCTTCCTTTTCTCCTTTTGTTTATTATATCCAACAGAACTGGCAACAGCAACGACTCATTTGAGGTTTTAGCTTTAAAAATAGTGGGTTTCTGTTGGGTTTTAGTCATGGTTTGTAATAGAAGTCAGACCCAAGAAACAGAAAAAGCTCAAATGAAAACAAAGATTTCATTATCATAAAAAAACAATACAAAATAAATAGCTGGTGTGGCAGTACAATCTAAATAAATATTAAAAGGAGAACCAGACAGAGCATGAAGCTCAGTGCCTGACTATTGTGGAGGACCGATGAAAAAACTAAACAGGCAGGGGCTGATGAGCCGAATGGAGACATCTGAGCAAAACAAGGAACAGGTGTAAGTGGGCGGGGCAGGACTCAACAAGTAGAAGCTGGCAGAGAAGAAGTAATGAAAAAGGCTGGAAACACAGCGAACAACAAAAAAAAAAGAACAACAAAAGACGTACCATATTTTTCAAACTATAAGGCGTGCTGGATTATAAGGCGCATTAAGCAAACAAAACAGTCAGATAAGTCAAACTTTATTCAACTCATTCACAATAACTCTCAACATTGTTCAGTTGTACCACATAAAATTGGTTTGAGGTCAGTAAGCACAACCAGAATTAATACATAAAGTGCACCGGATTATAAGGCTCACTGTCGAATTTTGAGACAATAAAAGGATTTTAAATGTGCCTTTTACTCCGAAAAATACGGTAACACAACCACAAAAATAAACACCCAAACCTGAAAAATAGGCACTGAAAAACAAAGATCCTGACAGATTTTTGCAGCACGAGTAACTGAAGTGACCTGCTCAGTGTGATCCAGAGAAGATTTCATCAGTCCTGAAACTGTTTCTTGTTAGAAATCCGTGTAGCGTTTTGCCTCAGATGGAGCAGAAACACTGGAGCTTTGAAGGGATTCGTTGGTCGAGTGCCTCCGATTATGACAGTAATTCAGCCATCTCCTCCACTGTATTTTAAGTGTGGTCGTAACCAGCGCAGTGGATACAAAGACTGAGTGAGAGAACACGCTTCACTCCACACACTCACACTCTACTCAAACTTTCCATCCTTTATTTCTTTGCAGACTCCACAGAGAACATTGATCTTCAGGTCATTCCTCAGGATCGTCTTGTAGAAGGAGATAACTTGACTCTGAAGTGCGTTGCAGATGGGAACCCTGCTCCTACTAGCTTTAACTTTGACCTTAAGGTACCTTAAAATCTCATTTAACAGTTGGAAACTCCTTCTCTTTGTGCTTATTAGAGCAATATATATGATAGTATACCAGCTGAGCTAACCCACTGTTGTTTTTGTATGCCTTCTGTAGGGAAACGTTGTAAAAGTGGAAAATAGAGACGTTTACACCATCACAAATATCTCGCGTAACACCAGTGGTGTATATAAGTGCTCTCTAATTGATGACCCCTCAATTGCAGCGTCCAGAAACATCACAGTCAACTGTAAGAACTTTTTTCATCTTCTTTTTTTTTTGTTTGTTTGAAAAACGACTGCAATTTAGCCACACGCCTGCAGCATTGTCGATGTAATTTCCCTCCCTGCCTGCAGACTTCTTTGCAACAATGACAGTGAGAAGTGTCTGTAAGAGAGACGAAAGTTCTAATATCTCTCGTTGCCAGACTGTCTTCTCCTGTTTGAGAAGAAAAGTGTTGTGTCAACTGCACTGCTTCTAATAAGCTGCATCTGCAGGGCTGCGAGCCAAGTGCAAAGCTGTGTGGTTTAACAACAGAAATGTTTCAACCCTTATCAAATCCCCGAACCACCTTATCAACATCCTCTCCTCTTCTCAGACCTGGACATCAATTTAAGCCCATCTGGGAAGATCGTCAGGCATGCTGGCAAGGCCTTGGATATAACTCTTCAGATCAATTCTTCCACAATATCAAAGGTCTACTGGACAAAGGTAAAAGCAATCTTCTATAGAGCAAAGCGCAAATCAATGAAGAAATATTTGTGCCTGTCAATAAAAAGTGTGATTTTCTGTTTGTTTGTTTGATGCAGAACCATGTTAAACAGGACAATCAGCCCAATTTCACCAAGCTTGCTTACTCAGACTCTGGTTTCTATGAGTGCTGGGTGACAATGGAGAACCTCAAGCGAACAGCGTCTTTTGAGCTGGTTGTCATAGGTGAGGGCTTAAAGGAAATTCCTTGTTGCTCAGAGTTGAATGGGAAGATTTTTATTTCACTTATGTCCTAATAACAAGTAATAAAGCTCCAGAAGTCTGGAACAAAATGAAAAATGATTTAAAAAATAGCAACAAAAATTTAAAATTTGTTTATTTATTTAAAGAAAAGATAAATAAAAACTAGAAAAAAAATCATGTTTTGCAAGAATACGATGTGAATGCTGAGCTAAATTATTTTGCTTAAGAAGCTGAAACTGAGTTGTTCAAGAAAGCAGAACTCCACCCCCCAAAAAACCCTAAAAGAAACGTAATACAAAATGTAAAAAATGGCTAAATGCTAACTAAACGTAGCAAATGACTAGCTAATAGCCAAAAGTTACATAAAGCTAGCCAACAGTTGCTGAATAGTAGCTAAAAGCTTAAAAAAAAAAAGTATGTAATATTTGTAATACTATGCACTAATAAGTTATAATTTTGATGCACAAACACACAAAGAAAAGTGAGAAAACAACTGAATGTGTTGACAGACGCTTTCAAATCCGTCCACTCATGACACTATATTAAAAACAATTTATTGCCATTAACTATTGGTATTTTCAAGATAAAGGTGAAATATTTAATAATTATTGGGAATAAATTTAAATGTTGTTTCAACTAAAACTCAAAACTTCTCAAATCAGTTGTGATTTGTTAAGGTGAGAGACTTAAACAAACAAATATATATATTTTTTACCCCATTTTGTAAAATAACAATGAAAACCTGAAATTTTTGTTTGCCACATTTAATAAATCATCAACCAGTAGATTGTTTATTTCATTGGTAGACCCAATAAATCTTGAAGTTTGTTGTATAACTCACCAATAAAAACAGAAAAGATAAAACATACTGTTATTGTCTTAAACTAAACTTTGTCTCAAGTTTCAAAATCTTCCAGTAGGTTGTTTAAAACACTGCTAGACATGATAAATCTCAAAAGTTGTTGTTTAGTCAGCCGTAAACACGGTGAATCTTGCAGTGGATTTATTTCACCGGTAGACATTGTAAATCTTGCCTTGGATTTATTTCACCAGTAGACACAGTAAATCTTACCTTGGATTTATTTCACCGGTAGACACTGTAAATCTTGCAATGGATTTATTTCACTGGTAGACACGGTAAATCTTGCAGTGGATTTATTTCACTGGTAGACACGGTAAATCTTGCCTTGGATTTATTTCACCGGTAGACATGGTAAATCTTGCCTTGGATTTATTTCACCGGTAGACACTGTAAATCTTGCCTTGGATTTATTTCACTGGTAGACATGGTAAATCTTGCCTTGGATTTATTTCACCTGTAGACACAGTAAATCTTGCCTTGGATTTATTTCACCGGTAGACACTGTAAATCTTGCAGTGGATTTATTTCACCTGTAGACACGGTAAATCTTGCAGTGGATTTATTTCACCGGTAGACACTGTAAATTTTGCAGTGGATTTGCTTCACTGGCAGACACAGTAAATCTTGCCTTGGATTTATTTCACCTGTAGACACAGTAAATCTTGCAGTGGATTTATTTCACTGGCAGACACAGTAAATCTTGCCTTGGATTTATTTCACCTGTAGACACGGTAAATCTTGCAGTGGATTTATTTCACCTGTAGACACAGTAAATCTTGCAGTGGATTTATTTCACTGGCAGACACAGTAAATCTTGCAGTGGATTTATTTCATCGGTAGACACTGTAAATTTTGCAGTGGATTTGCTTCACTGGCAGACACAGTAAATCTTGCCTTGGATTTATTTCACCTGTAGACACGGTAAACCTTGCAGTGGATTTATTTCACCGGTAGACACGGTAAATCTTGCGGTAGGTTGTGTAGTCACTAGTAAAATGGTAAATGGACTGTACGTATGTAGCACCTTTCTATCTTATCAAGATACTCAAAGCGCTTTACACTACAATCTGTGCCCTCATTTACCCATTCATACAGCACTCTACTACATCTCTACAAAGCTAATCTGAATCTGTAGAGACGAATCAGTGCTTTTTCACATTCATACACCGATGGGACACACATCGGAGGCAATGAGGGGTTCAGTGTCTTGCCCAGGGACACTTCGGCATGTGACTGCTGGTGGAATCGAACCCCCAACATTCGCATTGGAGGACGACTGCTTTAACCACTCAGCCACAGCCGCCTTGCAAGACGCAGTAAATAGTCTTGCAGTAGTCTTGCACTCTTGTAGTCTTGCACTAGTAGACACAGTAAATCTCGCAGTAGATTATTTTTACTGGTAAACACTGTAAATCTTGGTGGTTTAGTTATCAGTAGATGCGGTAAATCTCTGCAATTTATTTCACTGGTAGACATTGGAATTAATCTGTGTAAATAAAGGTTGACTGAATGAAACATGGTTAATCTTGCAGTGGATTTACAGTATTTTACCAGTAGACACGATAAATCTTGCAGTAGATTAATTTTACTGGTAAACACTGTAAATCTTGCAGTAGGTTGTTTAGTTATCAGCAGACTCTAAATCTCAGTAATTGATTTCACCGGTAGACACGCTAAATCTTGCGGTAGGTTGTGCAGTCACCAGTAGACACAATACATCTCACAGTAGGTTTCTTTTACTAATAGATACGGTAAATCTTGCAGTAGGATGTTTGATTTACCAGTAAACTTTGTAAAGCGTGTAATAGATGTTGAGTTTACCTGTAGATATGATTAAGTGAAAAATGGAAAATTGACTTCTATAACAAAATTTCACAGCACATTGTTAAATTAATTGGTGGAAACGATAAATCTGCCTTCAATTTGCCCGTTTGCTTCAGTACGGTGTTACCTTAAAAACAGTAATAGGTTGTGCATTTATGGTAATCAAGTCAGAACTGTTTGTGTTTTTTGCTACCAGAAACATTTTCATACAGTCAACGGTCTTCAGGGGAAATCCTCTCTTTCAGCTATCATACAGTTGACTGACAGCTTGCAGCAAAAGGTGGGGTACGGGGCCATACTGATCTGAGCTACTGGAGAAAAACTCAGTTTCTGACATATCTGAAAACTGAATTTGGACTGCAGGATGTTGTAAACATTTAGTGGTTTTAAAATTGTGACTTTTTAAAACTGAGCACAGTCATCCAGGTATATAACAACAAAAAAGGTTAAATTGTGGACCAGTTTCTTTAAGTGAGAATCATTTCGTCCACCATCCAGAGGACTTCCTCAGTCAGGTCTTGGCAGGCCGTAGACTTTGGAAGTCCTCTGGATGGGGGAGGAAACGTTTCTCAATTACAGAAACTGATCCAGATGACACGATTTAACCTTTTTTGTTGTGCTGGCTATAAATGAAATGCATCCATGACGAGTCTATTGTTTTTGTTTTGTTGTTGTTTTAAGTATCTGAGGTGTTTTGTGCTGTTGCAGGTTCTCCTGTCATCAAACACCTGAAAGAGTCAAACAAAGATGACCAGCAGAAAATATTAGTTTGTGAGGTTGAAGGTTACCCAAAACCAGCTGTTTCCTGGAGCGTCAATGGCACTTTGGTATGCACACTCACACGCTTAAAGTTCACCCATTTTTTTTTATCAGGATTACATGAAATTTACTCAGGCATAATTGTTGCAATTTCCCAGGGTCATATCCATCAATTTTACAGAAGTGCACATACATTTATTCATAGTGGGTAAAGATCTTTCGCCTGTGCTCAATCGTCTGTTAACATTCTGTCAGCTGGAGAACATTATAAAAGGAAATGAACTGGGTTAGAAGTGATCTAAACGTCAACATCATAAATGGTACAAGTAGTATTAATTTTGTTTTGAATATGTTAAAATTAAAGGATGAAACCTAGGCAGGGAGGGCTTTCTTAGAGGTTTCACAAAACTAGGAAATATTTCTGATACATCTGATTCGGTGGACTTTAAGAGTAAAAAGATGCCACTAACATAATTCAGTCTGATGTAGCTGTAAATGTGAAATGTCAGTGCCAGTGGAGGGTTTTGTTTTGGTTGAGTGCTTGATGCGCATTGCCACGGCACAGTTTGACGTTACCGTCCACAGACATGAGTGATTACACCTGTGATTACGGTGTGACAGCAGGTGGGATTTAGAGCTGCAGAAAACACTCACTGAGCAGCTGTTTGTGACAACAGAACAATGAGATGATTTTTATCATCGCTTTAATGTTCCAGTGTGTAGCATCGAGGTTGATCTATTGAAAGATGTGTGAACATCTTTTGTTGTGGAGTGTTTCAGTAAAAATAAGAACATTTTATTAACCGGTAAATGGCTACTGATGGAGCTATTTTATTACCGTATTTTTCGGATATTAAGGCGCACTTAAAACCCTTTAATTTTCTATAAAATCGACAGTGAGCCTTATAATCCGGTGCACCTTATGGATGAATTCTGGTTGTGCTTGCTGACCTCGAACCGATTTTATGTGGTTATTGTGAATGAGTTGACTAAAGTTTGAATTATCTGTTTTGTTGCGCTTAACGTTCCTCATGTATGAAAACAGATCCGTACATTGATATTGTGCTTTATAATCAATCCGGTGCGGCTTATAGTCCGAAAAATACGGTATGTTAAATTATGTCATGTCTCTACAGTAGCCCTGAAGAAACTTTTCCACTGGCCTTATAGAGGGTTTTATGTGTTTTAGTCTTTAGTCAGTTATTTCCCAGCCCATATTTATATAAACCCCTTGGCTTGTAATCCGAAATGGCAAAGATTAAATATTTCACTGAGACTAGGAATACACCTTCAAGAACTTGATACGCCATCAGTTGTTGCCAACTCCATGTATGTGAATGTGTATTATTGATATCAGTGTTGCCAGGTGAGAAATGTAGGATTATCTTACTAGAGACATAAAATTATCGTATTTTGAGGGAAATTATCATACACCCATCATAACCAGAATAACAAATCTATTGATGCACTATAATAGTGATGGGTCCGCTTCCAGATTGGCTCTGCTTCTTCTTTTCTTTTTTTCTTTTCCTTACTCATGGGGCGGACGCAGCGGACTATTCAGCCAATCATGGCCGTTGTTCTGAGGCAAACGCATACACGTCACTCGTACGTAACATTTAGAAAAGCCAACCGTACATCTGTTTGCGGACACAGATGCCTTCAGGGTTCACAAAAAAACTCAGACAAACCGTTGCGAGAGGCTGATGACAACCGATAACAACCACACATTCACGGAATGGTCAAATTATCGTATATTTGACCTTTTGGGGGATTATTAATCGTACAGTGGGCAAAATTGTCGTACAAATACGATAATTATCGTACACCTGGCAACACTGATTGATATGCTCATGTACATTGTGTAAAACTGCGGTAATTATAAGACGTGCAATTAACGTTGCATAAACATTATTTCTTATAGTTATTAGTGACAATCCCAATAACACCAACTGCATTCTCTATATGGACAGCGGAAGTCTAAGGACCAAAGTTATAGTTGGGATGCGTAAAATAGACGGCTGCATCGTCAGAAAAATAAATCTGTTAAAAACTTTGGAGTGTTGTAAACGGGGTCTGCATCTCATGTCCACACGGAACCACCAGAAACAGTGTCTAAACCTCAAACAGTCCTTTATCTTTAGGACAAAAACTGTTCCTGGAGGGACAAATGTAATTCATCTTCATCGTCAGCTGTTGAGTAATCCTAACTTTGTTTACCTGAGGTAATTGTGCAATCTCCTGACTCCAGATACCTTAACTGTGTGAAAGCAGACAATTATAGTAAAACTTTTTATTTAAATCCTGATAACTAAGCTGAAATAAATCAAACTTCTTTCACAGATTTAAACTCTAAATGTATTCACTTTGATAAGGTTAAAGTTCAAATCTTGTTACTTGTTGTCCTTTAAGTGGCGTGTCACCTGTTTTTTTGCCCGAACAAACATGCAAGGAACCAGTAAAATGTTTAAATGTGCTAAAAAAAAACCAACATTCAGTTGAAGATGTTTTAAAGACACATTGGATCATTTCAAAAATCCCCAAAACAAAAATACGACAAATAAAGAAACAAACGTTATCATTAGCCATCATGAATGCCGGTCGATCATGTAAAATATCTCACTGAACTCTTAAAAATAATCATTGATTCACATCCACCATCGAGTAACTAGACTATTCCCAATTCAAAGCTGACTCAGAAAATCAACTTTTGCAAATCAGAAAGGCTTTAACTCGGTCATTTTTACAGATATTGGGTTAAAATTTAGTGTAGTAGTAGCTGAGAGTCATCACCAACATATACTCTGAGTGCTAATAAGGCAGGTGAGATCTCTCGACATGCAAGGCAGTGGGCGATATGCATTCTTTTTTTTTTTTTTTTTTGTCACAGGTAGGCCTGTTGCGATAAACAATAAATCAATTAATCGCATGATGAATGAAAATTATCAACCTCATTTTCATTTATCAGCTTTATTGTTTCTTTGTGTCTCTCTTTCTACTGAAGACACTGGATGACAAAAGACTCAACTCTGGTGCTCTTCACTGACCCGTCTCTTTCTCTTTTCTTTAAAATCCGTTTTAACCGTCTAAAATTGTGTTTTTGGATCTTTAAAAGCAGCTAAGCTAAGAAGCTATGCTATGAGCTAAGCTAACAGGCCGACCTCGGGGGAAAAAACCTCCGTCTTGCCAAAGCTCCAAAATTCACAGTTGAAACCTGTGCCTTTGTATAAAAAGTTGTTTTTCTCTGCAAAAAGAAGCTGAGAACTTGTTTGCTGATTTTTTTATTAAATGCTTTGTGTGAAAAATGCTAAAGAACTCAAACCACACTGAGTGTCCGCCATTTTGAGAACCGAAAAACAGGAAGAGAGACAGCCCATGTCACGTCAAGGGGCCTCCCTCCCATTTTTCTTTAAAGAAAGTCGCTGCTCGCTCCCTCACTATCCATCCTTCAGTTCAAACAGTCTTATACTGCCATCCAGTGGTCAAAAGAGGTACTAGACACAAAAAATTAACCAACATTTCTTCTTAAGTTTGACAATAATTACGTACTAATTATTGTCAAATTTCAAACAATATTATCGTTTATCGCAATAATTCCTGAGACAATTAATTGCCCAGCAAAATTTGTTACTGTGACAGGCCTAGTCACAGGTGACATCTAGGACACCTGTAACCCATCAGTCTATCACCTGCCTATTTTCACAAGTAAAACATAGAAAAGGTCCTTCAGTGCAATTTTTTGTAATGTGTAT